CATTCCAAACACTTCCCTGATCTCAGTGGAAGAGGCAGCATCCTCCCTTACCTCCTCATTCCCTTACTAATGGTGTAAATTGTTGATGAGGACCTTCCATACTTCCTTGTGAGATCAATCACACAGACACGACACTCATGCTTTGCTATAATTTCCTTCTTGAAATCCATAATAATTGTGTCTTTCTTCCTCTTGAAAACACTATCTTTAGCAAGCAGCTTCTTTCGAGACATCGTGTGTTACAAATTGTAGTCGCAAAACCACTAAAAACCCAAAGAAAAGCTCAAATAAATCCAGAGGGATGCTTGTCGTGTGAGATACAACAACAACACTGGCGTCGGAGGCGTCCGAGAATTTGCGAGAACCCGCGAGACGCTAGGAAGCGCCATGTGGTTTCACTCGTTAATAGAGGCGAGCTCGTCAATAGAGACAAATTTGCTGCGAGTGGCTTGCTCGTTACTGGAAAAACTCGTTAATAGAGCCACTCGTTAATAGAGGTTCCACTGTATACAGTATGATGCATATTTGTGTCCTTTACAATATGTATACAGAAGAATGTTCATAATGTTCCATGGAACTGTGATACATGTGTCAGTAATGTGTCCACAATAAATGTTTATTGTCGCAATATTACCTGTTAAAAATTCCCAAAAATTACAATACGTACAGTTTCACACACTCTTTACACAGTAACACACTGTATTACACACTCAGTACTTTGAAAGTGAGTAATAATCAACGAAGTAGCCCATGGTACACAGCGCGACTTCGCTCTCTGTGCACCAGGTACAGATAAATTTTCGCTTCCTGTTTCTTCATTCTGTGTGCTTGCAAATAACGCACTCACGTACACCCTTGGCTTTAGAACTTGTAGGTTGTATGTAACCAAGCTTGTAAAGCATAAGGTAGTATTGAAAAGATTATAGGAAAAGATCAATTTGTAAGGTAGTCTTGAAAAGATCGTTTTGTATGGTCCCACACAGGAAGAGATTCAGCTTACCTCAAGAGTGTGTGTCAGTCAGGAAGAGATTCAGCTAGCCTCAAGAGTGTCCGTCAGTTGGGAAGAGATTCAGGTATTCTTGAAAATATCTATGGAAAACCCCACCATGGAAGCTGCTAACACTTCATCTATGCTATTTGTATCAGATGCATCATCACTGAATGCAGAAAACGATTCATCTAAGTATCATCTAAATAAATAGCATAGGATTGCAAGGGTGACGCTCAGAGCTACAACTGGATACGCTCGCTATATCGTCCTCATAGGTGCTGTATCACTTGCATCCGACCTTTGTGTTAGGTCCTTATTGCGCCTGGCTTCCCCAATATTATGACTCTTATGTTCTTAAAACAATAAGGTTTGAATTTCACCGACAGATCATTATCTTTCAATACTGCGTTGGATAGGTGTTTGGGAGCCAGAGGCGCGTGCGCCACCCATGGGTTGCTCATTCAGTACTAACCCAGCCAGCAGCCCTAGGGCATTCTGGGATTTTTTTTTCCAAGATGGCTGCCTCTCACTGGAGGTCCTAAGAGTCCATTTCGTACACAACCAACCTCGTACACATTTAGAATTGATTACGAAAAATTAAAACGAGTTTTCTCGGTTGGCACAGTTTCGCGCCAACCGAGAAAACTCGGTTGGCGCAAGTGGTTAAACAAGGTATGAGAATGAGGGACGGGGATGTTCCCTCCATGCTAGATTTGATATTTACCAGGAAAAAGGAAGAAATATTTGACATTCAGCACCTTCCTCCGTTGGGTAAAAGTGACTGTCTTTTTGGGAAAAAGTATGCAATGTGTTATAATCTGGAAGAAAACAAGGTGGATGAAGCGGTTGAAAAACCTGACTTCAGGAGAGAACATTATGGGGGAGGTTATCTTGAGATAATTTCGGGGCTTTATTTAGTGTCCCCGCGACCCGGTCCTCGACCAGGCCTCCACCCCCAGGAAGCAGCCCATGACAGCTGACTAACACCCAGGTACCTAATTTACTGCTAGGTAACAGGGGCATAGGGTGAAAGAAACTCTGCCCATTGTTTCTCGCCAGCGCCTGGGATCGAACCCAGGACCACAGGATCATAAGTTCCGCGTGCTGTCCGCTTGGCCGACCGGCTCCCCCTTAGATTTTTTTTTTTTTTTTTTTCCTTAGAAAAAAGGAAAATTTCTTTTTGGAAAATGGATCTACAATTTCCAGACTAATAGAACCCACTGTGCAATACTGTACACACTTGATTATCAAAGATTCGAACATCCGGAAAATGCCCTTATACGGCCAAAATCGTGACCGGATAAAGTTATCTCAATATCTGGCCAAAATGTCTGTGGGAGCCGGATAAAAGCTGGTTTAGCCGGATAAAAAATCGGAGCCGGTTAACTTGCTGCCGATGTTACACTATCCGGACAGTCAACCAGATAAGCATTGAATTTTCCGGATATGAAAGCCATGGAGCGGGCTGTACCATATTAAGCCTGGTTGACCAGTACAGTACAGCAACGAGGAGGCCTGGTCGAGGACTGGGCCGCGGGGACGCTAAGCCTTGAAAACACCTCAAGGTATGATAGTTCACTATAATATCTAATTTTGCCAACTTGTTGTGTAGACTGCTTATATCAATGCCTTCTTCATTGAAACCCCCAAAATCTAGCTGTTTTGTTTTTCTTCTTGCCGGCGACCATCTTAAATGTCGTCGTCTGCACTGTTAACACTAGGGCAACTTTTTCTCATACAATTTTTACACTTCCCTTGGCACATTCGTGTTCTCATATATTTTTCAAAAGCACTTCACCTTTATGTTCAATTTTCACCAGAATAGGGGTTTGTTTTAGGGCACTTACCTTTCTGGGTGGTTATCTTGAGATGATTTCGGGGCTTGGCGTCCCCTGTGGCCTGGTCCTCGACCAGGCCTCCTTTTTGTTACACACCCCCAAGGAAGCAGCCCGTAGCAGCTGTCTAACTTCCAGGTACCTATTTACTGCTAGGTGATAGGGGCATCAGGATGAAAGAAACATTTTTGGGGCATCAGGGTGAAAGAAACATTTTGCCCATTTATCTCCGCCTCCACCGGAGATCGAACCCGGAACTTCAGGACTACGAATCCGAAGCACTGTCCACCCAGCTGTCAGGCGCTCTGACAGCTGACCATCAACCTGACCTGATTGATAGCAGACAAAGAACGCTTCCAACCGCACAGGGGTTTCTATAGGCCATTGCTCCTCGTGCCTCTCTGAGGGGGGCCAGGTTCTGGCTCGTGGTCCCTGATAGGCCCAAAGAACTCCAAACACATGACTGATGCCAAAGTCTGACATTAGCAATATCAGCCTGGATAGCTCCTGGGGGAAACAAAGGGGTTCCCCCCAGAAAAAGCATGTTTTTACCTGTCACAGGTATGGCATCTATATAGTAGGTACATAAAAACACGTGCGTATTCGAATGGAACGTTGTCAAAATTTTAATGCAATCAGTGAAGAAATTTCGGGGATTAGCAATTTTGAACAAAAGTTACATTTTTATTTATGGTGGGGAGGACAAGGGGGCGGGGGAGGAGGATGACAAGGGGACGGGGGAGTGGGGATGACAAGGGGACTGGGAAGGACGAGGGGCCGGGGGAGTGAGGGATGGTGGGGAGGACAAGGGGACAGGGGAGTGGGAGATGGTGGGAAGGACAATGGGATGGGAGTGGGAGATGGTGGGAGGGGACGGGGGAGGGTTGCTGTGCGCATTGCTGAGCCACAGCAACGCGTGGCTGGGCACAGCTAGTTGAAAATAAATTTTGGATTTTAGTTTTTTCTCCAAAACAGCAAGTTAAGGGTCCTCTGGTAGGTTAGGAGGGCAGGAAGTTATCCTAAGGTTTCAAAACATCGTGAAAACCATTAATTGAATGTTTCCTCTCCTAACCTAACCGAGTTAGCCAGAGAACTCAAAACAGAAAACGGGACAGTACGTCACTTTCCCGAGTTGATTTAATTTCAAATTACTGTACATCCATTTTTGGCCATAGTGCACATACAAGCAAAAAGCAACATAATTTAAGAGGACAGGTTGTATATTTAGCCTGATACAGTACTTAAGCCTTACAGCTGTTATCGTTATTCGTTGATTCACAGGGTAATGCACTTATCATATGACAATTTGAATAATTACTGTCTGTGTTTTACATGTATGATGCAAATATGGATATATTAGCTCTCTTGAGGAAAAATCCTGCTACCATGAAAAAAAAATCCTGCTACCATGAAAAAAAAATCCTGCTACCATGAAAAAAATCCTGCTACCATGAAAAAAATCCTGCTACCTGTTTAATTTAATCAAATTTTTTTTCATGGTTGTGTATTAGGAGCCTACTGTCGTGTGTGTGTGTGTGCCACATTGGTGGCTTATGCCTTTTTTTCATTCTAAACTCTTGCTCATATGGTGCCAATTAGGTGGTATGTCATCACCCAGAGCCCAACATCATTGTATATTATTTTCATATTTTTTCACTATTCTCTATGGTTGTACAGTAATGGTGTATACAAGGTAAACTAATCATCAGTTGAAACACGTGTTATTGAAATGCTTGTATTATGTGAATTATGTGATTTATCAAGTTGTTCAACACACACAATCTTGTAAATAAAGAGAAAAAAGTATTAACAATTGGTGAAATATCCGAGGATAACACAGGAAGCATCACCAGAGTCAAGCACCAGGTGTTGACAGGCGCCAGACACACCCGCCACACACCCAGAGTGCCTCCCCCTAAGTGAAATGATAAATATTCACTTAGTTTTGTGTTTTTCTTACATTTTGCATACAAATTTATAATTCTGTAATGAAAAATATTTTTTTTTTTTTAGTCATTGTTTGCGCATTGGTAGGTATGACCATTTCTCAATAGTTGTTGTCCAAGGGTTCAAATCTATATTTGAAATGCATGATGTTCTTTCTGATTGCAGGTTGTTCATATGCTATTGCCAATTATTCTTGGGATTATTTATATATTTGCTTTGTTTTGCAGGTCTAGACAAGATTGAATTCCTTCAGAGTCATGAAAATTTGGAAATATACCAGAAGGCCTTTGAAATTATTGAACACTACTTTGGAGGAGAGGAGGAAGACTCTAAAGTGGCTCCCACTGTTGATGAATCTGGCCACCAATTCCAGTTCACTCCTGATGCGGGTGCACCGCCCCAAGGAGGATTCAATTTCTAACAGGAACCACTCAGTCCGGAAGTAGATTTCCACATAACTAGAAACTTATAGCCTCTGGACTTACAGTGGGAATTTAATGTATTATATTTCTTCTTTCTGCTAAATAAATCTGCAAGTTAAGATGATCAGCAGGATTTATTGTGGTTACTGTATTTGGAATGCTACAGCCATATTATTTTTAGACAGTGGGAATGCCTTACTCTTACTGCAAAACATATTAAAGGGTAGTAAAGGTAGCTTTCAAATTGATAAAATAAAAAGCATTAAAAGAGGGTGCCAGTATATAAATTTTGAAAAATTAAGGTAATATAATTTCTCTATTAGAATTGAAGATAAATTCTCTGTAGTGTTGCTTAACCTTATTTTACTTATATTCATCTGGAATAATAATAATCCAGAATGATAGTTAAAACCTTCTTGCCCCTTAAAAGTTTTAAGAAAATCTTGATTCTCTATACACTGTTTCCAAAGATGATTTAGCCCCTCACAGTTTTCCTATCATAATTATTGACCAAGCTACTGCACAGCTTGGTTGATAGAAGAAACTATATAGTCTTGGTATTCTTTGGAATTTTGCTGTCGCCAAGAATACTTTTTCTTTCTTTATATGTCTGTTGAACCAAGTATACAGTGCTGAATATTTTGATTGTCTTGAAATATATATTCCTGAGAAAGAAATATTCACAACAAATTTGGTTCATATTTACTTTTTGAAGAAGCTCGTGGTGTATTTAGTTGAAGGCTGGGAGTTGCAGCTTGCAGCCTGAAGTATTTGACCTGATTGGTGATCCTAAGCTTTGGGATAGAATTGTGTAATGTTCCTTTTTTCTGTGGACGACTCACTTGACATTTTTCTTATTGCCCAGGGTATTTTTGATTGTGTCTTTTCTAGTTGTTGATCAGTTTGGTCATTTATTAAAAATAGATATGAAAATTTATCTACCAACTTTGTTGAATGTAATGGTATATATCCCAGGTAGGAAAAACATAAATTAATTTTTTTATTTTTTTTTTGCTTTGCAGTTGTCTTCATTGAGGAATGTATAAATTAGGATGAAAAGGGTAGAAGAGATTTATCTCTACAAGTGAGATTTTATCTCACTAAAATTTGTAATTTTTTAATTTTTTTTCTATTATTTGAGGCAAGTGTTTATTTTGTAAAGGAGTTAGGGGATATTTCAAGAAAGTAATCACTGGTGTTGTCTTGCTTTCCTCAAAGTTCTCTTGTTATACCCATTACTACTATCTTTATTATACAGATTATATTTCATTAATTCTAATGTGCATCCAGTACAATGGAGTGTGATGTGTTACTCTTCTTTGTGTACACACACACACTCTTGTACACTCTTAATTACACTTAGGTAATTACTCTCTCATGCTTGATCCTCATACTCTCATTCTCTCATACACTCTCATTCTCGATCCTCATACTCTGATAAACACACTCATTCTCTCATACATTCTCTCTTACACTCTCTCTCTCTTACACACACTCTCATTCTCTCTTACACACTCTCATTCTCTCATGCTCTCGTACTCGCTTGCTTGCTCTCTCTCGCTTGCTCTCACTCGCTTCCCCTCTCTCTCTCTCTCTCTCTCTCTCTCTCTCTCTCGCTCTCGCTCTCACTCTCACTCTCTCTCGCTCTCTTGCTCTCTCTCTCGCTCTCTTGCTCTCTCTCTCGCTCTCTTGCTCTCTCTCTCGCTCTCTTGCTCTCTCTCTCGCTCTCTTGCTCTCTCTCTCGCTCTCTTGCTCTCTCTCTCTCGCTCTCTTGCTCTCTCTTGCTCTCTCTTGCTCTCTCTCTCGCTCTCGCTCTCTTGCTCTCTCGCTCTCTCGCTCTCGCTCTCTTGCTCTCGCTCTCTTGCTCTCTCTCTCTCGCTCTCTAGCTCTCGCTCTCTCGCTCTCTCTCGCTCTCTTGCTCTCTTGCTCGCTCTCTCGCTCTCGTGCTCTCTCGCTCTCGTGCTCTCTCGCTCTCGTGCTCTCTCTCTCTCTTGCTCTCTTGCTCTCTCTCTCGCTCTCTTGCTCTCTCTCTCGCTCTCTTGCTCTCTCTCTCGCTCTCTTGCTCTCTCGCTCTCGTGCTCTCTCGCTCTCGTGCTCTCTCTCTCTCTCTTGCTCTTTCTCTTTCGCTCTCTCGCTCTCTCGCTCTCTCGCTCTCTCGCTCTCTTGCTCTCTTGCTCTCTCTCTCGCTCTCTTGCTCTCTCTCTCGCTCTCTTGCTCTCTCTCTCGCTCGCTCTGTATATATTATATATGTATACAGTATATTATATATGTTTATATTATATATGTATATATTATATATGTATATATTATATATGTATATATTATATATGTATATATTATATATAAATCTCACACATATACAACAATCAAACACATGTTTACACTACATCACACAGTTGCACAAACTCATAATTACTAATTATACAGAAAATCGATAGAGTACTTACATTTAATATGCGATGCATCATTCGAGATTATGTAGGTGGTTGGTAATAAAGATGATGTCTTAGGGGTTTCTAGTCTATTTGGTCTTGGAATTTGAGGAGTCTATAAAATGTTTATTATGGGGAAAGCATGGCATACCATAAACTCATCCAGTTCCTTGTTTTCTAATGTTGATAATTGTCAGATTACATCCCAGGAAGAAATGTAGTATTTTGACTTAAATTTGGTTAAAGATGATAGCTCTGAGATTCAAGAAAACAATCACAGTTCCAGATAGTTGGAATTATTAGTTGTAAATTTTTAGGGTTTAAATTGTTTAAAAATATCAAAACTAGGCATAAATGTGTTGGTCCTTTGCAGTGATTATTTTTGGTGTTTGTCTTTTGAGTGTGGGATGTAAGGAATAATAACTGGGATGAGGCATATTTGTGATGCAAGTCTTACCAGTAGTTTCCATGCTGCCATCATGGAATGAATGATCCCAATGTTTTTCTCCAGTGAAAATACCCTCTTCTCTGAGACATGAAACTAATGAACCAAATATTATTGTGAAAGAAAAAGTGATTTTTTTTGTTGTTGTTGTAGATCAATTGTCAGGAAGTGGTGAGGATGTGTCCATATGATTGAGATAAAATATGCTGTGAGGTATATTGTTTGTGATGCAGCTGACTTGGGTGTTGGTCACGCAGAGTGCTGGTGTTGAGTCATTGTGGGGCTGTTAGGGGCCAGTGGGAGTTCATTCAGAATATTTGTGAAAGTTATTTTGTATTTATATTTGTTTCTTGTTCAGTAATGCAATAAGGACATGCCAAATCTCGTAAAATTTGCTTTTATTAAATAAGATTCTGTTGACTTATGATGGTAGTTGTGAATCAGTGCATTTTTCAGGCACTATTCTATGTGCCAATCTATTGCGTAGCTGATAGGTTATTCCAAAGTAGATTTTTAATACATTTGAAGAGTGTATCCAGTTTTATAATTGAAAATCATGTTTCCTAATTGTCTTCATATATATCGTTATGTTCCTCTAATTTCTTTGAGAGGTGGTAGTTCTTACAGAAGATGAGAATCTTTTTCATTCTCACAGATAGTGTAAACTATGAAGAAATTGCAGTCACTTAGTGATCTTGCTTTCTCTGAATAATTACACATTTGTGAAGTGGATCATTTTTTTATATTTTCATACAAGTACAGTACGTGTAAAAAAATTAAATTTAATAATTTTCAAGAAACATACTAGATTATTTCAATATTTTGTGTAAGAGTAATAGCCCTGAAGGCTTTGATATTCCATGCAATAGTATTTTGTTTAGTGTTTATTTAGTAGTGCTTGTTCCTTGATAAATTTTGTTGGGTGGGATTAGTTCACCATCTTGACTGTGGCCTGATCTGGGAATATGGTGATCCCCTTGACAGAATTACCGAAAGGCAAACTTTATGTTGTTTTTCAATTGTCAGCCTTAGGTTAGCTGTCATTATTGCTCATGTTTACTGATCATGTTGTGGCAAGTTTGTCTGATGTGATTAGAACCAAAAATCTAGGGTTTACTGGTAGTCATTCAATAGGCTGAATATAAAATTTGACATGAAAATGTATTCAATTGCTATAGTATATTATAAGGGAAATAAATTTATATAAAACAAATCTCCAAAAAGAGAGAACCCACATCTCTCTTGATTTGCATTGAAGTCAAGTTTTATGATTGAGCCCATTGCTTAGATCTGTAATAGCTCAAGTATTGTTTTGCCATCAGTTTTTTTTTTTTTTAATGTGTGATCAAGGAATTAGTTGGCCATTTAGTTTATTCCTCAAGAGAGGCTGTGTTGGCAATAGAGTCAGCCATTTGGTGTGCTCGTTGTAGAGTGCATTTGACTGTGTGCAGTGGGTGTAAATGATAGTGAATACATAAGTGTATTTGACTGTATGTGCCCATGAAAATATTTTGTATTAGTGTAAATGTGAGAATATTTATGATGTGAAAGTATATTTGACATGCAAGTTTTGTATTAATTTGTTATTATCGATTATAGATGCAATGATAGCTGGTGACTTGAATGATCTGCTTTTTTCTGCAGGTCAGGAACTTTTGAAATATTTGGAAATGTATAACTGAAGACATTTTCAATATCCCCATGTTCACAAAGGGAGCACTAATCTGTACGACACGTAGCACCATCCCTCGATTACAAAATATCGCTATTGAGGAATTTTGTTAATGTATATATATATATCCTGTATAAGTTTAGTCATTTCTTTGGTGAAACATCTCTGAAGCAACACAGAAGTGAGAATAATTAGTGCATTTTTTGTGGACATGGCTTGAAAACTTTGAAAGCACTTGTTATGTAACATGAAAAATGCATTTTGATGAGCATATGCTGTGCATTGTATTTTGTGCTTCCTTAAAGACTAAACTTCTTGTGCGAACATTGAAAGTTTAATGTGAAGAACTTGTGAAGCAATGCAAGAAGTAGACCTTGTGTGAAAGTAGACATTAGTGACCTTTAGAAAGGAGTAATGAGGACAAAGTGGAGACTAGTGACTTCAAGTGGTAACAGTGGTGACCTAGTGACTTATGGCCAAGTGAAAAAGTTCATGATATATTTAAGTGTACAAGTGTACACTTGTGATGCTTAAATTTCTGTCCATGTGTTAGTCACTAATGTGTACACAAGTGG